GGGCTGCAGGGAAAAACAGGCTGGCTGGGAGCTCAGCTAGCTCCTTCTCCAGCCACTTCCTCCCTTATCCCCATTCCCCTAACCCCTCTCACCCTTACCTCTTGTCTGTCTCTGCCCAGATGGCCCCTAAGTAAGTGGACAGGGGGTAGAGGGGCTGTGGCCATGGGGACTGGAGGCCCCAGGCTTCATTACTGGAGAATGCCTGTCATGGGTCAGTCCACCTATAGTAGGTGAGCATTCTAGAGCCAGAACTATCTCCTAGAAGGAAGGGGTTGGACTTTCACTGGTCCTTTCAGCCCAGATTCACCAGGCGACGACTTTGTGCCAAGACCTGTGCTGGATACCTTACATACACTTGATCAACTAGTCTACTTAGAGGCTCTATGCAGTCAGCACCATTGGCCTTGCTTACAGAAGCTCAGAGAAGTAAATAGCTACCAGGGTCACACAATAGCACGTGGTAAAGCCAGGATTTAAACTCACATCAGTCTGGTCCCAAAGGTTCCATACTCTATGGCCTCTTACACCGTTTCAGCTGGTATGAAGCCACTCTGCCTAAATTGTGTCACAGCCAATCCAGAATGGGCACCCAAATAAACCTGATGGAACTGGCTGTTTGGGTTAAAGGGGCTACCAGGGTCTATCAATTTCCACTCTTGCTCCTAAGATGGGCATGGCTTGGAGAATGGGTGGGAGCTACTCCAGGTCTTTGAGGGCTGCAGCTGCAGGAGCAGAGGAGACATGTGAGCCTCCCCTTTGGGAAGGTGAGGTCCAACTGACTGGTTTCATCCCCTGAGAAGACGTGTCAGGGCCATCAGGATCTCACCCTGAGTCAGGGCCGGAGCTCAGCCCCCTAGCTGCCTCACCTCAGCCTGTGCACCTGCCATTCACTGCTTTCTTCTCTGGTAGCACCTGGGGTTTGATGGGGACTATCACAGGCCAGGATAGGGGCTTTGCCTGAGTACATGTGAATCGCTGAGATGCTCACAATGTGCTCGTTGTGTCTTTCACTCTATGGCTATAACACTCCAACGCTAGGAGAAAATGATGTAGGTTCACCATCCCTAGAGTTGTGTTCAGCACTTAGGATAGAGAGCAAGCCAGGAGTGAAGGGGATTTTCAGGGAAACAACATAGAATATGCGATCGGTCTTATTTTGTGCCTATGGGGCGCCCAAACCATGGAGCTACAATTGAGGTACTTTTCATAAAAGTGACTTGAGGCGTGCCATCCCTGATACAAGAAGGAAGATAAAGGAAAGTCAGCGGTGCCTCTTGGGTAGAAGAGATTCTCTCTTGGAACTACCCTTATGTGCTGAACACTAGGTGCTTCCTCCAACAGCCCTAACAAAGAGGTGTTTTGCGATGTCCAGTTTGGAACTGCAGACATTGAGGCTCAGAGGGGTATGTAACTTGCCTGAGGTCACACAGCCAGGAAGTGGATGAGATGGGAAGTCAAGTCCTATCTGTCTGACTTCAAAGCTTGTGACCTTACAATGTATAAAACGGTAGGTACAATGTTTCGTATGAGTGACTGGCCCACACAGAATCTGCAGGGGAAAAAAATACACAGCAACTTATACAGCCCTATAGCTCATGGTGCACCAGGACAGCTGTGGGGTCTGGCCAGCAGGCTGCACGCTCCGCAGATGCAGCTCTGCTCCTTTCTGTCCTTAACCCTCAGCACATGGTTGGTTGCTTGGTTGGTGTGACCCTGTCTTTACAAGTACATGATAAGGTATGACATTGTCCTGAGGGGCCAGCTCTGTGTCCTCCAATTAACTAAATCCAAATTTATTTCATGACAAATCCTACAATAAACCCAATCCAAAGAGAAATAAAATTCTAGTCTAGACCCACATTCTGCGTCCTTATTAAATCAGAATTGCAAGAAGCTCCCAAAATCTTCAAAATGTAGCCTGAGAAACTGAAGGTAGACATAAGGAAGAACTTCTCATGCAAGAGCGCCTTTACATCCTAGAGTGAGAAAGGAAGAAAGATGAGTTTCTTTCCCTGAAAATGGGAAAGACATCTTCATATCTGAGCTGGAAGCAGGCGGCTGAACCAGGTGCCTCTACCCAGCAGCCACAGCTGAAAGCTGGTCCCCTGCCCCTCCCCAGACCCCCACATGCAGATTCTGCTACTGCCCTCCGTGACCTCTCCTTGTTTGGCAGCTGTTCCCAATCTTGTCACAGAGGGATGAGCAGCTGAGAGGGGTGTGGAGCCAGGTGGAGGGAGTGTTTACTCAGGGCTTTCTGGGTGAAGGAGGCAAGCCCTTAGATTCAGCCCTGGGATTAAGGGATCCTGAGGGCTCGTCACTCTCAGCTCCAAACCCGCTGTGCAATGTGGGAAAGCTCTTCTGCCCTCCCTGGCCAGGCAGTCACCCTCATCCCACTCAGTCACCCAACCTTGACTGCCCCACAAGGCCTGAGTCATTCTTGCGGAGCCAGAGCCAATATGGGGATCAGAGATTCTGCAGAAAAGGGCCATCAGCATTTTAGGGAGAGGCCAGTGAGGGCAGTGAGAGATGGGCACTCCTGAGAGCCAGGCATGGGGGTCTGTATAGGCATAGGGGTCTGCACAGGTGTGAGGGTCTGTACCCAGGGGCTCCTCTTTCCCTGGGCCAGAGAGCTACCCCTGCTGCCCCTGGGCATGTGCAGAGGCTTCCAGCATGTTCTGGCAGCAAAAGCACCCTCAGAAACAAAATCACGTGCACAGCCCCATGTGTAAACAGATAAGGAGAGATGATCCAATTGGTGCAGAGGAGAAACCATGATCCGTCTCACCTGCTGACCTCCCCCTGCACCCCGGAAAGCAGCCCTTAGGCTCCTCACTTGGGACCCTAAGCAACACTTGATTGTTAATGAGCCATCCTGCGCCACAATATAATCTGACGGTTTTTTCCATGAAAATTTTAAGTTTCTATTGTTCAGTTTTTGAGTCCTAAATATAATTTGATACAGGGTCTCCCTCTGTCACCCAGGCTGGAGTGCCGTGGTGCAATCAGCGCTTACTGCAGCCTCAGATGATATGATCCTCCCGCCTCAGCCTCCCAAGTAGCTGGGACTAGAGGTATGCACTACCACACCCAACTAATTTTTGTATTTCTTTGTAGAGCCGGAGTCTCACCATGTTGGTCAGGCTGGTCTCGAACTCCTAGACTCAAGCAATCCTCCTGCCTCAGCCTTCCAAAGTGCTGGGATTACAGGCATGAGCCACCATGCCTGGCCTATGATCCCAATAAAGCTGATTTTTTAAACACTGCCGTTAAGTTACTGCGGCTTTGGATACATTCTTCCCCCTTCTCAGCCTGCTTTTTCACCTATGAAATTAAAAGTTTAGAACTGATTGCATCCTCACCCCTCTATTTCTTTATCTATATAAAGCAACATAACCTGCTGGTTAAGAGCTTGGGCTCTGGAACCAGATTGCTTGGATTCCACACCTAGCCCTGCTGCAAGTGACTTAGCCACTCTGTGCCTTATTTTCCTCATAGGCAAAATTCGGATGATAATAGTATTTATATCATAGGCTGTTGTGAAGTGAATCAGTGGGTGGAGGGAGTGCTGCACAGGGCTTTCTGGGTGAGGAAGGCAAACCCTTACATTCAGCCCTGGGATTAAGGAATCCTGAGGGCTTCTGTCACTCTCAGCTCCAAACCCGCTGTGTGGTGTGGGAAAACGCTCCTGCCCTCCCTGGCTAGGCAGGCACCCTCACCCCATTCATGTGTATTCCCATTAGCTAATAGTCCTCAAAGCGCTGTGCATGGGATGGGCCATGTTCCATCCATTTGAGAAGGAAAGCTAGAGACCACCTAGGCTGGTGAGGCAGAGCTGACCCTAAACCGCTAGGTCTTTGTGTTCCTAAGCTAGAGGTTAGGGTTTGGCTGAAAATCCCTCTGCTGGCCTTCCAAAGCCCTGGAGGAAGCTTTCTTGGGGCTCTCTGGGGTCCCTCTGAGGAGGATGGAGTGATCAGGCTGGAAGATGGCGGTCTACATCCCAGCAGTGGAGCCCTAAGGAGCCCTAAGGTAGCCAAGGAAGGGAGCAGTGTGATCACGGCCTTGGGTCTGGCAGACTGGTTTGGTAGCAGGGTGGGGAGGGTCTGAGAGATGCGTCAGCCAATTGGGGAATCACTTGGGTACAGGTTGAGGAGTGGGGAGTGGGGTCCAGGCTCAAAGTAGAGAACTGTGGAGACGAGGAGGAAGGGAGGTGATTCCAGGAGACACACGGAGGGAGGAGCAATAAGATTTGTCGAGTGATGGAGGCAGGAGTGAGACGGAGGTAGCTTCGGTGCTGACAGGACCGAGGGCTTGAAATCGCCTCACCTGTAAACTGGAGCACCACGTGCCCGTGACTGAACCCAGGGCTGCTGTGATGACTGCAGGCAAAGTAATGTATTTGTAAACCACAAAATCCAATTAAATGTGCATTTTTCTTGCTGACTGGGTGTGGGGGCTGAAAGAGACATCACTGAGGCCAAGAGGATGAGCTGGGAATCCAGAAGTCAGGGAGCGGGGAAGCGAAGAAGCCTGATTCCCATAAGAGCCTCCATAAGCCAGATGCTTTACACATGTTCTTATCACAACTCATGTTTACAAAGGAAGAAACTGAGGCTCAGAGATGTTGGGTAACTTGACCAAGGTCACACAGCTAGTAAGTGGCAGAACTAGGATTTAAACCCAAGTTGCCTAGTTCTGAAGTCTTAAGATTTCTAGGTCTCTCCACTGAACAAAGCATGCTGTCTGCCCCCACAGAGTTAGTGGGAGGCTGAACAGGCACCAAGGGGTGGCTGCGTAATAAATAGGCAGCCACTCAGGAGCCAGGTCTGGCCTTGAGCAGCTTTCCTAGTCCCTCTGAGCCTCAGTCTCCTCCTGTGAGCCATGCGCAAGCCCTGGAGTGGTGATGGTATCAAACTAATGTACCTAAGGAAGCATGGTGACTGGGACATGGTGAGTGTGACTGTTGCTGTGTCAGCCACCAGGGCACTAATCAACAGACACAATTTCAGTTCCCCAGGCAGAACAGACTGCAGCCACAGACAGCTAGCCGCAGTTGTTCCCTTTATTGAGACACAGACAGGGAAGGGGGATGTGGGTAGATTCAGGGAGAGGGTGGGTCTGGTGGGGGACTGGGGAGGTTGAAGGGTCTTTAGGGACCATTCCCAATTTCTCTCTCTCCTAATGGCTTGGGAAATTGAGCCTCCTCTCAGTGGTCAAAAGACCATCCCCAAGTCACCCAAGCATATCACTCAAGCTGGTAACTTTAACCTCCCCTCCCATCCTACCGCGGAACCAAGGAGAAAACCTGAGTCGATTTGAGCACTTCCCAAAATGCAAATAGTCTGGTATGAAAGTACCCTGGATCTGAGGTCCCCTGGCTGTTCCTGCTCCTGAGAAGTGGCTAAGAATGGCAGCAGAGGTGGGGTGAGGAGGGAAGGGAGAAGATTGCAGGGGCCCTTGCAGGGCTCAGCAGCTAATACCTCCGGCTGGACGTCTTGACCGTGGTGGTCTTCCGCAGGATGGAGGTGCCCCCAGAGACGGGCCCTCCCTTGATAGTGCTGTAGCCCACATTTGTACTGAACCCACCCTTGGTGGCCCCCCCACTGCCACCCAGGGAAATGCCACCTCCAAATCCGGCTGCACCACCTCCGCACACAGTGGTGGAGTTCCCAGTCACGGCTGCAAAGCAAAGGGTCTGGATTAGTCAGGGTGGCCATGCCAGGAGAGGGCAGGGGGACGCCCAGAAGTCAGCAAGGGTTCAGAACCAAATCAGGCAGTGGAGCCATGGGAAATGGATAGAGAAGCCCAGTACTAGGACCCTCTGAACCTGTCTCCAGGGGCTCAAATGGAGGAGAGCATGCTTTAGGACAAAGACAGCTTGCGTAAACGGAGCAGAATTCTGGGGCCCGGCCAGGGGTGGAGCAAAAAGTGGGCAGTGAATACTCACAAATGCTGACTGCACTTGGACATTCTCCAGACATCCTAGGGGACACAGAAAGCCAGGAGAGCAGTCAGTGGTCCCTGGTGCCCACATGAAAACCCTCTCCTTCCCTCTGCCTTTACATTTGATCCACTCAGTGAGTCCTGATGACAAGACCAGGTAACATGAGAAGTGTGTGTATAGGGCTGTGCCCAGGTCCAAAAGCCAGTGGAGGCAGAGCCACCAGCAGGCTGGCCAACCCCCATCCTCCCCTTTCCTCCCCTCTCTCCCCATGTGGGCTATGGACAGCATCCCTGCCCCAATGGAAACAAGCCCACAACCAGACAGAGCTGCCTCATCTCTGCCTACTTTCTATTTCATGCCTTCCCTAAGGAGAGAGATGGTGGATTTTTTTCCAAAGCTTCCACTGCTGGTAGAATCTGGTGGTGGAAGAGGAAGTTCCCTTCCTCCTGGGCTGTCAGTCACAGTAAGGATTAACCAGAGTTGTGCCAACCAAGGAGAGGAGTGGCAGAGGTGGTGGGCACAAGCAGGTTTCCCCTGGCATGAGTCAGAAGCTGCTCCCTGGTTCCTCCCTCTCCCTCTTGACCCCAGAGCAGACTCCTCAGGCTCTCCCACAGGGCAGGCCGGAGCAGTGCTCTCAGTCGGGAAGGAGGGGCCACCACCTGCTCTCCTCGCTCTCCAGCAGCTTGCGGTAAGTGGCAATCTCCACGTCCAGGGCCAGCTTCACATTCATCAGCTCCTGGTACTCCTTCAGCAGTCGGGCCAGGTCCTCCCTGGCCTGGTGCAGGGCCACATCCAGATCCGCAAGCTTCTTCTGAGCATCCTTGAGTGCCATCTCCCCTTTCTGCTCCGCTTCCGCAATGGCTGTCTGCAGCTGCTGACACTGCCCGGGGAGAGAGGTGTTGGAAGCACCCTCCAGGGTCATCTCATTCATCTCTCTGCCCTCAAGCCATGGAGACATCATCATTCCCACATCCCAGCCCCCAACAAACAGAGAAAGAAAGAAAGGAAAAATATTCATCTGAAGAGAGGCTATTACACAAGGAGGACCAAGTAATGCAACTGGGAAAGTCCTTACTGAAGTCTAACCTCAATCCCTCCTGTTGCAGACCAGCCCAATGCCTCAGAAGAGATAAAATAAATAACACAGCCTTATTAGTAACCAAGTGATTCATTCTAATCTGGGAAAGAACCCACACCCTTCAGCCGTCCTCAAGATGGAGTCAGAGACATCTGTGACCTGGCCCCTTGAACCCTCTACCTCCTATTCCGATCTCCTGGAGATGAGATGGATCAGTCTCCCTGGAGAAGGTTGTCCCACCTGCTCTACAACTCATATACCGAGTGATGTTGGACAAGTCCCCCGGCCCCCAGGAAAAGGAGCCTGTGGTCAATGGCCCAGCATTCTATTGTGTCCATCAGGAGGAGAGCAGGCCTGGCCCTCGGGATGACAATGAGAAGGCCTGTCAACACCCAGGCCAGACCCCGAAGCCCCCAAGTAGAGGCCAACCTGCTTCTTGGCTGCATCCACCTCCCCCTGCAGCCTCTGGATGGTGCGGGTGAGCTCAGCAATCTCGTTCTTGGTGTCCCGCAGGTTGTCCCCATGCTTCCCAGCCGTCACCTGCAGCTCCTCATACTGGGGACCAAAGAAGTGGCAGTGAGCTTTCCGATGGCCCTGCCCCACCCTCACAGCTGGAGGCCCCATGCAGGTTGAGTGTATCTGGTCCCCCGGACTCCAAGGTTCCCAGAGGCCCAGGCCTCTCATGATAGGGGAAGGTCTGATCCAACCCCAGCCCTCACACCTGGGCCAGCTCCGCCTCTCACCTGGGTCTGGTACCAGGCCTCGGCCTCAGCCCGGCTCCTCTGGGCAATCAGCTCATACTGGGCCTTGACCTCGGCGATGATGCTGTCCAGGTCCAGGTTTCGGTTGTTGTCCATGGACAGCACCACGTTGGTGTCAGACACATGAGTCTGCACTTGGCTCAGCTCCTGAAAAGACAGAGACAGCTGCCACCAGCACCCCTGCTCCAGGCCCCAGGAAGCATCGGCGGTGGAGGACATGGCCCCCAGGTGGCATCAGGAGGCCTGTGCTCTTGTCCAGGCTTCAGCCTACAGCAAAGACAACTGCAAAGAAAGGCCTCAGTCTCCCCAGCTGTAAAATGGGGCTTCCTTTTTTGCTGTTGTTTTTGTGTTTGTTTTTTTAATTTTTGTTTTTGAGACAGAGTTTTGCTCTTGTTCCCCAGACTTGAGTGCAGTGGTATGATCTCGGCTCTCTGCAACCTCCACCTCCCAGGCTCAAGCAATTCTCCAGCCTCAGCCTCCTGAGTAGCTGGAATTACAGGCATGTGCCACCACACCCAGCTAATTTTTTGTATTTTCAGTAGAGAGGGTTTCATCATGTTGGCCAGGCTGGTCTCAAACTCCTGACCTCAGGTGATCTGCCCACCTCGGCCTCCCAAAGTGCAGGGATCACAAGTGTGAACCACCACGCCCAGCAGGGGCTCCCATTTTTATAGACTTCAGTTATGTGTGTGGGTTTGCAGGCTTCCAGAAGATGAGAGAGGGAAAAGAGAATGTGTATTCCCAGTGCTAACACTGGTGCCTGGCACGGTGCTGGCACATTCACTAACCCCTCTAGGTTCCAGAATACCCCGTGTGGCAGGCGGGCCTGTGGCAGGCTCACAGGGTGCCTTTGTGCAAACTGGGGAAAGACACCCCTTCAGGTGGAAGCAGCACATCCAGTATCAGCCAGCCACCAATTGCACCACCATCCATAGTGGTTCTGACCAGGGCAAGTGAGAAAAGGGGTTTGGAAGGGAGAAGTGATACATCCAAGGGCACCAGGTCCAGGGCAGGACCCAGCCTGGGACCAGTCAATTACACGACAAAGCTCAAGTGGTTTCTTCTAGAGCACACTGAAAGGATAGACTGTCGTGATGCTCTTGGGCCCTCATGTTTCTAGAACCACCGTCTTTCACACATAAGCAGGTTTCAAGATGCTGTGAATGGCAGGTTAGGTGATAGGGAGTCAAGGGTCCCTGTTATGGCTTTGGGACCAGCTGGATCACTGGGCCAGGACTGTGATTGCTCCCATGTGGGGCTCTGCCTCCATCTCTCCCATGGTCCTTCCCGTCCTGGGCTGCCAACAAAATGCCCTAAACTCCAGCTCTGACAAATCACTCATCCACTCAGTTACTCCCTAGAGACTCCCTGATAAGTGGAGAACCTTCCCTCTAAAAGCCAACACCTCCCATATTCTGGTCTTGTCTCCATCCTTTCTGAAACACTGGCCCTTCATGGCAGCCCAGGTGATTCTAACAGCATAATAATAACAGCCCTCGCTGGCTGAGCATCGCTGTGGTTCAGGCTCCGCGTTAGGCGCCTGGTAGGTGCTAACTCACTACACGCCCTTTTCCCATAGCACAAAGAGATTAAGTAACTTGCCCCGGATCACAAGCCAGTGAGTGAGGAGCTCGGTTTCAAACCCCAGGAGTCTGACAGCAGAAGCTGAGAGGACATAGACTAACATAGAGATAGGCAGGAATAAAGAGAGACAGGAAAAAGAAACACCAAAGGCAACACCGATACCCGTTCTGATGTGGATGCAGATTGTCTTCTAAAAGGTAGGATGAGAAGGTAGAGATCCCACCAATACAGTCACTACAACATTTGTGGGTTTTGGAAAAGGTATGAGTTTTGGAGAGAGACAAGCCTGAGGTCAAGTCCCCGGCCTGATGTGCACTGGCTGTGTAGCGAGGTAGCAGCTAAGCCTCACGATGCCTCAGTTCCCTCTTCTGTAGCACGGCCTGATCATCCTTTCTTCCCGCGGTAATTGTGGGGCTTGAGATCCATGCATGACCCACGGCGCATGCTGAGTAAAGTGCATTCTTACTTGCCCAGACTTCTCTAAAGCCACTGGAGGGGCCCCCGAGGCCTATTTGTCACAGGCAAGATCGTGCTGTCACAGCTGCCTTGTCCCCTTCCCCACCGAGGCGAACTGTCAGCATCATCTTGAAGCATTCTGCCTCTGCCCTCCCCAGCTCAGGGTCTCTCTCCAGCCCCACGCCAGAGCATGGTCCTGAGGAAAATCAACCCGGAATTTTTAAGACAAGGAGGCAAATACGCTCCGCTGGATGGCACCAAAAGCAGATGAGGCCACGCAAAGGTCTTGCTAGAACAAGGGGATGGAAAGGGCAGGCATGGCCGGGTGCGGTGGCTCACGCCTGTAATCCCAGGATTTTGGAAGGCCGAGGCGGGCTGATCGCTTGAGCTCAGGAGTTCGAGACTAGCCTGGAAAAAATGGCAAACCCCGTCTCTACAAAAATACAAATATTAGCCGGGCATGGTGACGTGCGCCTGTAGTCCCAGCTACTTGGAAGGCTGAGGTGGGAGGATCGCTTGAGTCCAGGAGGTGGAGACTGCAGTGAGCTGTGATTGCACCTCTGCCCTCCAGCATGAGTGACAGAATAAGACCCTGTCTCAAAAAAAAAAAAAAAAAAAAAAAAGGCAGGCTTTCCAATGAAAGGGAACTCATGGAATCGGATCAGGAAGAGCTCTGTGAATTGCTAAGGTGTGTGTCTCCTTAGACCAGGGACTTTAAAGGGAAAAGATACTGGAGAGGTCTAGGCAAGGGTAAAGGGAGCCAGCAGGCAGAAGTGGCCACCGGAAGAGGGGCTGGGTTCCACAGACACCCCAGACCAGAGGGAGGCCATCACAGAGGCTGCCTTCCTGCCCTGTGAGACATCCAGTGATAGGTGGTTCACCCCCCCCCCAGATTGCCGTGGCATCTGGCTTGGCCAAAACCAGACCATGGCATTGGTTACTGAGAGCCATGCTGGCTCTGTACCTGACCGAGCTCATGAGGCAGCAAGGGAACGGCTGCACTGGCCTTCGTTCTCACCCCACGGAGGCACTGCTGGGCCATGAGGACCTCTGACAGGAAAGGGCCCTGGCTTAGTCCCTTCCTCTCCTTCTCTTGCCTCCTCCTCACCTAACTGCTCACACACTCCATGCGGGCACCCACCATCCAGTGGTCCCCAAGCACACTGCTCCTTTATGCCTCTGTGACATTGCACAGGCTGGGCCCCCAGCTGCCAAATCCTTCCTGCTCCTCCTTTAGAAGTCTAGTCCTTCCATCAAGATCCAACTCATATGCCATCTCCCCCTAAGACTCTGCAGCCCTCCCAGGAAGGGTCAGCCATGGCCTCCCCATGTGCCTTTGCACCTGTGCCTGTCCCCAGCACAGGTCTCACCATTTGATAACCCAGCCCCGCAAGAGCTGGGATTTTTGTCTTTGTTACTATGTGGAAGGTGCTCAGTAAAGGTTTGTTAGATAAAGAAGGCATAGCAATGGAAAGGAATGCTGAGTGTGCCAGCCATGTGCCTTAGACCAGAGAAAAGCCAATTCCTAAACATTCAGAGAAGAGGGGAAGAGAGAATAGATCCTAAGAGACCACAAGGAGGTCCCAGACAATGAATGACTATCAATGACCCCAGAAAAGTAGAAACTGGGGAAGCACCTAAAAACTCAGCATGGCAGCCCAGAACACTTCCCAGCAAGCTCCATCCGGAGAGCCCCTTAAGAGATGCTGGGAGGCAAGCAGTCTGGCCAAGGATAAGCCTGGAAAACGCCAAAGCCAGAGATCAAAGGCTGTGAGACAAACTCTAAGCAGGAAGAACATAGAGGTCCCGTTGGGCAGATCCCTACAGAAGATCCAGGAAGGGCCAGTTGCTCAGCTGCTTTGTCATTTGCCTCTTTTCCATCAAGAACAAACTGGTCATCAAACTGGGAAAGGCAGGGGAAATGCTTAAGAGGAAATGGGAACCAAGACAGGGAAGATGAGAGGCCTTGGCCTTGTTGGGGATCACAGGGATCCAGGCCTGAAGAGCATACACACAGGCTCCAGGGACTACCAAGGGGAGGAACATCCCCATCATCCTCGAGAAATATGGAGAGCAGGAGACCCCAAAACCCCTAACACAGCAAATGGCCTGATTTTCAAACAGGAGAGATTTGGAATTCTTCAAATAAAGTTGATGTCAACCTCCTCCAGACCCATAGAATGAATATCTAAATGTGTGTGGGAGGCATGAAGCCATCATGGGTTCCCTAAGGAAAAGTGAAACCAAGTGGATTTCATTTTCCTTCCTGATGATAAAATTCAACTGCTAAAGGCCTGCCAGAGACAGTATTGGACCAAGCCTTTCATAGCATTCTTGAAAGAAGACGGAAAAATGTGGTCCAGGTAACAGTGTGGTTAAGTGGATTTTAAAGTAGTTGAGGCACTTTAACCACAAATTATTTAGCAAACTAATAGACCCATGAAAAGTCACCACTGAAGACCCACAGGACTTCGTTGTGGGCCCTGATTGCCTTAACATGTGTATGAGTGATTCACGCTGAGATGTTATCAAATACCTAGACTGAAAGTTTATCCCATCTGCAGATTACACAAAGCTATTCACCGCTAATACATTGGATAAAAGGATCAAGTTACTAGGAGCCCAAACAGCTTAAAATGTTGGGATGACACTGTAATGGCATTTCATAGGAAAGAAAGGGAATGGTTAACTATTCCACTCAGTTTCAAAATTCAGCTTCCCAAATACAGGAAGGTAGAGGAGAGTAGATGCATGTCTCATTTGAAAGCATCATGTGAAAAGTCCAGGAGGGGTTCTAAGAAGCCAACATTGTGAAACAACTTCTAAAACAACACATAAACTAGTGCACTATTAGAGCACATCAGTCGAAGTCTGTATCTAGGCCAGGTGCAGTGGCTCATGCCTGTAATCCCAGCACTTTGGGAGGCTAAGGTGGACGGATCACAAGGTCAGGAGATTGAAAACAGCCTGGCCAACATGGTGAAACCCCATCTCTACTAAAAATACGAAAATTAACCAGGCACAGTGGCAGTCACCTGTAATCCCACCTACTTGGGAGGCTGAGGCAGGAGAATCGTGTGAACCCAGGAGGCCAAGGTGGCAGTGAGCCGAGATCATGCCATCACAGTCCAGCCTGGGTGACAGGGCGAGACCCGTCTCAAGAAAAAAAAAAAAGACTGTATCTGGAACCTCCCTCCCCACCCTTCTATCTTCTGAATACTCATTAAGAGCCCTGTTTCCTGACCTTCCTCACAAGCCACAGATTTTTATCCTCTAGTCATCATGACTTCTAAAGGGCTGTCATGTGAAAGTCATATGTCACATGGAAGACAATTGGATATGTGCAGCCCAAAGGGCAAAGCCAAGGGCAGAAGTCATGAGAAGGAGATCCAAGTCAGTGCTCTAATAAAGTTGTTCACCAATGGCAATGCCTGCCATAAAAACTAGTGAGCTCCCTACCACAGGAAGTATTTGAGTAGAGGTTACATAGGACAGGGATATGATAGAAAGTGTTCACTCGGTGGAAGTTTGGCCTTGAGGTCCCACAGACCCTAAGAGTCTATGATTCAGGGGTCAATTCATGTTAAGTTCAACCCTCTCACCTAAGTCTCCAGAGCCCTCTTGTCTCCTGGAACCCCTCCTGGATCCTTTAATCTACCCACACCTCACCTCTTACCCGGAATCCCAGTCCCTCCTCTGCCCATTCCTGCTCCCTCATCTCTTGCTCCATTACAAACTGGGCAGGAAGAGGGCAATATAACAGTGGCAAGAGTCAGACTTTGGAGTTCAAGAGCCAGATTTGAATTCTAATTCTGCTTCTTTCTAGCTTTGTGAACCATGAGCAAATAACTCCGAGCCCCAGGGTCCTTGACCAAAAAATGGAGACAATAATAGTACCTGCATTCTGGGGTTGTTGAGAAGATTATGTTAAAGCTGGGACCGGTGCCCAGAACATCAAAAGCACTTAATACATAGAAGCTAGTATTAATTAACATGTCAAGGTTATAGGCTGGGTGCGGTGGCTCACGCCTGTAATCCCAGCACTTGGGGAGGCCAACGGCTGGTGGATCACCTGAGGTCAGCAGTTCAAGACCAGCCTGGCCAACTTGGCGAAATTCCATCTCTACTAAAAATACAAAACTTAGTTGGGCATGGTGGCAGGTGCCTGTAGTCCCAGCTACTCGGGAGGCTGAGGCAGGAGAATCACTTCAACCGGGGGGCAGAGGTTGCAGTGAGCCGAGATTGCACCACTGCACTCCAGCCTGGGCCACAGAGCAAAACTCCATCTCAAAAAAAAAAAAAAAAAGGCGGGGTCAAGGTTTCATCTTCTACCAATGAGGTCGCACTGGTGAATTCATGTCAGACCTCCTTGGGAAACCCCCAGTGCTATTTGTAATGTATCCAAACTCTTCCTGCCCAATGACCATCTCACCATTTCATAGAGTTGCTGCAGGAAGTCAATCTCCTGGGTCAAGGAGTTCATTTTGCCTTGCAGATCCATCCGGCCCATGTATGCTGCATCCACATCCTGGGGACGAGAGAGCAAGGCAGATGCTCAGGCCCCAGGGATGTCACCTCTCCCCGAATCAGCCAAAAGACCACCTCCCCCACTCCACTCAGCTCACCTTCTTGAGCACCACAAACTCGTTCTCGGCAGCAGTGCGCTTGTTGATTTCATCCTCGTACCTGTTACACACGGGAGACTTAGGCCAGGCTCAGCTTGGCTCTGCCTTTCAGGCATGGGACCCACTCAGCTTTACGGTAGCCCTGATGGGTCCCTCATTGGTCAAGAACACCTCTGGGGAGCAGTTCTTTAATGTAGCCAATCAGTTAAGAAACGTGGGATCTGCCTTTATTTAAACATTCTCTCTCCCCACCCCGTTTTAGGGAAAGAGGCATAGAATTTGAGCAATAATATGGCCATCAAGAGCTGCCATCTCTTTGGATGTGAGCCCTTAGGAGGCTTTATAGGGACAAGGGAAGATGTGTCAACAGTGGCTGACCTTTACCATCAATTTCAACAACACGGTGTCATTCAAAACAGCTGACTCCTCCCCAGCCACTCTCGCTGAGATTTTAAGATTTAGAAATTGTCAGTGTCAAGTTATGGGAAAAGTTATTTTTAAATGTGCCTTAAAGTTTTAAATATCCATATCAATGAATTATAATATATAAACCCTATTTGGAGCTGGAGTCAAGCGGTATTTTTTAAATGTGTCACGTGTGGAACAACTGGAAATTCAGAACTGGCTGGATTCTTAATGACATTGAGGAATTATTGTTTTAAAATTTTTAGGTGTGATTATGCACTGTATGTTTTATTGAGTCATGTAAATGAACTACATTCATGTATGCAGATATATGAGTACAACTTGTAAAATGTTTGTGAATGAAATGACAAGATGTCCGAGATTTGCTTCAAGACTACAAGGCAATCAGAACAGGCAGAAAAAGGCGAAGTTTAAAACAAAGACTGCAGGGGAAGAAGGGAAGTGGGGAGGTGGGAATACGCAACAAGGTCGGCTATGAGTCGATGATGAGTAAGGCTGGGTGATCGGAACACGGGGTCATTCTATTCTCCTACTTTAAAGACTTTTTAAAATTACAAACAAACCTGCCAATTTTCCAGGTGGCAGCAGGTGCCAGACCTGAGCACCTGAGGAAGCCAGCTCTGTGTGCACATCCCCCAGGTGGGCCTGGGACCCCAGGAATGGGGTGGTCCTCTCGGCAGGTTTCCCACTGCCCCACCTCACCCCCACATGGCTCCACCTGGCCTGTTCTCCTCACTTGTTCTTGAAGTCCTCCACGAGGTCCTGCACGTTCCTGAGCTCGGAGTCCAGCCTTCCCCGCTCGCCCTGAAGTCTGTCCAGCACGCTCCGCATGTTGCCCAGGTAGGCCTCGAACAGGAGGTCCAGGTTGTTCCTGGTGCCACCCAGGTTCTGGCCCTGCTCCTGCAGCAGCGCCCACTTGGTCTCCAGCACCTTATTCTGCTGCTCCAGGAACCGCACCTGAGCCAGAGAAGAGAGGGTGGGCTGATGTCATCCCCTGGCCACCAGAGGGGCCAAGCAAGGATGGGGTCCATTGCCACCTCCCATCCCAGGCCAGGGCATCATGGGGGCAGTGCAGCCGCACCTACACCTTGCTGCGGGGAAGCATTCCTGAGGGGAACAGGTTGCTGGAAATGACAGTCCAATATGATGGAAAGAACCCTAACAAGTTAATAAGTACAAAAGGCCAGCTCAGTAGCTGTACCAACTTAATAGTGGGTAAACTTGGTTGAATCATTTCTCTCTGGGTCTCCCTTTCTCGCTTTTTCTGCGTAAACTGGACTAGATCTATGTTTCCGGTCCTTAATTCTGCATTAAAATCAACTGTTTGAAATGTAAATCAACTGTTTACCATCACGAATTTTGGGAGCCAGAGGCTGGAGGAGTGCTTGAGTTCAGGAGTTCGAGACCAGCCTGGGCAACATAGCAAGACTCTGTCTCTACTAAAAAATCAACACAATTAGCCAGGTGTCATGGCATGAGGCTATAGTCCTAACTACTCAGGAGGCTGAGGTGGGAGGATCACTTGAGCCCAGGAGATGGAGGCTACAGTGAGCGATGATTGTACCACTGCACTCCAGCCTGGGCAACAGAACAACACCCTGCCTCAAAAAAAAAATTGTTTTAAGAAAATTGGTGAATCTGGGAGAAAGTATACATGAGTATGTATAGTATTCTTGCAACTTTTCTGTAAATTCAGTAATTTTTCCCACCAAAAAAACACCTTTTTTAAAATACCAATGTCCAGGCCCTTCCTCTATACACTCTGAAGGAGGCTTATAGGGTGAGTTGAACCCCCCTATAAGGGGGAGTCCTTGGTCCAGCGAGGGTTCTAAGACAATCTCTCACACCTCCAGCTCCCAGGCTGTGATTCTGCAAGCCTGAGAAAGGTTTTGGCTTGTCTGGCCTCTGGGGACAGTCCCACAGTAAAACCAAAAGTCACTAGGGGAGAGGGTGAGGGGGCAGGCGGGACAGCTTGCTTCACATCCTGTCATCCAGTCTCCCCAGGCCCCACCTCCACAGCACCTGGGCCCCAGTCACGTGGCCCGGGAGCACCATGCAGCTGGTGTACCTGTCGTGAGCAGTAACACCTCTTAGCACCAAGAACCATGGAATTCGGGGGCCTGGGTCCCAGTCCCACGTCTGCCTCCAACTCCCTGTATCATCCTGGGCAAATCACTTGAGCTCTCTAGACCTCAATTTCTCACCTTGAAAATGGGCACAATATCACCTTCTCTGACTTGTCACAGAAGCCCTGTGGGTACCACAGGAGAAATGGGATGTGCACGTTCTTTGGAAAAACACAAATCACTGAATCAAGGTACGTTTGTCCACCAGAACTTCCCCATCATGACCCACTGCCTTGGCTCAGGATTGACATGGACAGTGCCAGCAAAACAGACTAGGAAATGCCAGCACTAGTGCTGCCCCATTCATCTGGAAGCAGGGGCAAGATTCAGGACACGCCTATGGGCAGCAGGTCAAATGCCACACCCCCAGAGCTTGGTGACCTGGCCACCACCCTCATTGTTCACCCCAAACTGAACTTCTTCACTCAGAGGAAAAAAAGAGAAGCAAAAGGGAGACTTCCCGTAGGACCCACCCCCACACAACTGTGTTCTCATCACATCTTGGCCTTAGGCCTCCTCCAAGCCTGAAAAAATGGAACAAACAGGGCTCCATGCCCTTGGCCTTGAAGAACTCTTTCAACTCCTGAGCCACTGTTTTCCCGGTGGTAAAATGACAAAAGACGATGCAGGCCACCCGGCTAAGAAGAGAAATGAGGATGATCCATTTTTTGATGATGAGGTAAGGCTACTGTATAATCAATCATAGTAATCATGGCAGTAGGACAGGCTCTGACACAGGCAAGGTGGGCTTGGCAAACAGGACTCAAGAATAGACTGGAGATTCCCCCGCACAGGCTCAGTGAAGACCTGAAGGCCGTCTCCAGCCGCCCACATCTTGGCACCCCAGGCTCAGACGGAGAGAGCACCAGAGCTCCATCAACCCCCACCCTAGTGCAAGTGGGCTACTGCAGCCCCGGCCCAGCCCACCCTCTCTTAGAGGCCCTGCTTCTGCCCCAAGGGCCCCCCACCTCCTTCCCGCTTGGCTCACCTTGTCAATGAAGGAGGCGAACTTGTTGTTGAGGATCTTGATCTGCTCGCGCTCCTGAGTGCGCACCCGCTGGATCTCGGGGTCGATCTCCACATTGAGGGGAGTCAGCAGACTCTGGTTGACAGTGACCTCCTGGATCCCCCCAGGAGGACAGGTGGGCCCGAACGTCTGCCTGCCAGCCCCCAGTCCAGTAAATGCCCTGCTGCCAAAGCCGAAGCCTCCCAGAGCCCGCCCCGCAGAGGCCCCTCCAGCCACACTGACAGAGATGCTCTTGTGGCCCCCCAAGTTATAGAGGCTCCGGCTGCCAAAGCCACCTGTACTGGGGCCACAGCGGGCCCTGCCACCACTGCCACTGCTCCGGGACACCGTCACTGAGCTAAAGCTGGTGTGAGTCCCAGCCCCAGCCCCTCCACTGGCAGAGTTGGAGCTGAAGCCCCCTTTGGTGGAGTATGTTTGCCGAGACACAGAGGACCTCATAGCTGCAGAGGGGCTGGAGGGCAGGCCGAGAGGGCAAGAAGGGAATGCTGTGAGCTGCTGGGCCACCGTGGGCTTTTTATCTTTTCCCAATGAGCTGGCTCCCCAGCTCCACTGACACTCCTGCCCCATCGCCCCAGGGGGAGTGGGAGGGGTCCTGTGGGCCGTGGGGAGTGCCCTATCCCCCAACAGGAGGGAGGGGCCCTCCCAGTTGTCACCTGTGCTCCAGAGCTGGGGCTGAGCCGAGACTGTGTGGGGCAGGATACCACCTTCTCCCCCTGCCCCCAGGCTCTCCTTGGTTGGCACAGGATGATACAGGTTCCCACGGCCACCCCCACCACCCAGTGGCTGACTTGCTCTCCTCCCACCCAGCCCCAGTGGCCGCTGTCAATAGGGCTCTGTTCTACAGGGTTTGTCCCAGGCCCCTGTTGTAAGCCAAGGCTGCAGGGCCCGGGGCTGTGCAGGTGGTAGGGAAAGGAGCGTTGGGCAATGGGCGTCCAGGCCTCCTCCTGTCCCACCCTCCAGCCCATGGCCCACGGCTCCTCGCAGGTCCAGGGTGGGGGACACAGATGACACAGTGAGAGTGGGGACAGCCTGTGCCTCTGCCCTACAGTGGCAGACCCTTCTGGGAGATGAGTCTGTGCTGGCAAAGTGGATTCAAGGACAGAAAGAGGGTCCCTGCCCAACTGTGGAGCCCAGGCACTTGATCCGGAGGTGGGAAAGGCCTGAGGTCCTCTGGCAGGGCCGGAAAGCCTGTGAGCAAAGGACACTCATGGAGGCTGAAGAGAGGCCAGGGGCTATAACCCACACCTGAGATCCCTGATCCTCTGCCCTATAGCAGAGTTCCCCCAGAAAGGCCCAGCCGCTTTGGCGGGAGCTGGAGGAGGGTGGAGGACACAGACCACCCTGGGTGGAGACAGGCGAAGCTCCAAGAAGCAGGTGTCCCGAAAAAGCCCCAGGAGGCCCACGCCACAGCCCATCACTCCCACCTTCCCCTGCCCCATGTGCAGGAGTCCGCCTGTCTGATTCGGAGGGGCCGGGGAGCACCTTAAATCCCCTCACATGGTCCCCCCACTTCCTATTCACCTCAGTCTGCTGGGACCAAACACAGCCCCAAGCAAAGAGACGTCAACTGTCAGGGCGGAGGGGTGACTGAGAAGATGACTTTGGAAACTGGCCCTCCTCACCTGCTCATCTCTCAGCAAGATCGGCTCAAAGAGACTTGCCCCAGAAAGGAAGGACGGCATTGCTGTGCTCCCCACCCCACCAGAGGAGCAGGGTGACCAGCCAGCTTGTGTCTCCAGGATCCCAACAGGGAGGACGTGGGACTGCCACGGAGAAGGCTTGGCCTCCCTCATGTGGTCCCTGCAGCCCAGGGAGGGCAGGTGAAGAGACAGCCTACTCCAGGACTAGAGGGAGCTGTGGGACCTCCTCCTAGAGCCCCTGGGAAGCTGTAAGTGGCTCCCAGGTGCTTGAAGAAGTTGAACCTGGCTCCCACAAGTAATCAGGGAGAGAGTGCTTGCAGAACTAGTCCCTTAATACCCAAGAGGAGATTTTGGAGTTAGGACACTGGCATTTGAGGGGGCCGAGCCAAGACGTCTCCTGCACTGAGCTGTGTGTCCTGGGGCAACTCGAAACTTCTCTGGGCCCTATTTCCTCTGCTTATAAGCAGGTCCCTCCTTGGAAACCCTTTGGAAAAGCGATGGCCTGTGATCCCTGGACAAAGCCGCCACTTCCCACTGACCTTTGTCTCCTTTCCCCAGGCTGAGATCACTTTCTCAGCCTCCCTTATCTCTCCCTTGGCTGCGTGGGAGGGAGAAACAGTCATGAGTGGGCTCTAGCCTCCAGGATGTGGCTGTGGGCCCCTAGGGCAAGGGAGGTGTCAGCCCTCTGAGTCACAGTGCAGCCAGGCTGGTGGGAGTGAGAGGCAGTTGGTAAACACATGTCTCGCCCCACCCCAGACACTGACAGTCACTCTCGCCAGTCCTTCACACACATTTACCAAGCACGTGCTCTGGACCAGGCTTTGTGCTGTGCGTGGAGCTCCTGGCTGCTGCTTAGAGGCAGCCTCCCTCCCACGCAGGCTCCCGGACCAGGCCCAGACAGGAGCCTGGGAGGCCACTTTGCCTCCACCAGCCCTTACTCTCCACACTACCTTCAGGCAGGACACGCAAGCTGAGACCTTCTTTCTGCAGCCCAGAGAGGAGCAGTTTCCTCCCCTCCTGTCCTCCACAGAGAGGAGGATCTGCTGTGCACTGCTGGACTCATTACTGGGGGCTCCATCTCTGGAGACTGTCACCTGCCCAGAGTCCCTCCCTGATGGCAGGACACAAAAGCAGAGGGGATTGAAGAAGGGAGGGGGAAAGACATCGGATGCTGCTAACCTAGCACCTGCCATGGGCCAGGCTGGGTGCTGAGCAATAGGAAAATTACAGGGACAAGGAGCCCCCCAGAGGGTAGGGCTTTCTGAGTTCATTCTCATCATTATTGCAGTCAGCACTTACTGAATATGTGCTATGTGGCAGACAGTGGCCTGGGCACCTTCCATGCAACGGCATGTGGCATCTCCGTGCTGGGGATGCTCCATCTGCCTCCCTCTCAATCCATTCTCCACCCTCCTCTCACCCTTTTGGGCTGCTCCCTGGCACTCTGGCTTCCAGCTGGGTTGACCAAAGGTACCAGCAGGAGATCAGAGAGAGGAAAGGATTTAGGTGTTTCTTCCCGGCTCCATCCCTGCTTCCAACCACTTCAGACCACTGTCTGGGGCCGTGGCTGCGTCCCCCATGAGTACAGCTCCTGCCACTCATGGCTTCTCTTGTTCTTCAGCTCCACATAAGGTGGCCAGCTCATCCTGATTTTCTCAGGACTGCCTGGCTTTAGCACTGCAAGTCCTCTCGGTCTTGGACAGTCTGAGAGTGTGGACCTGGCTCTAGGAGTGGTAGTGGCTTCCCACTATTGCTGGTCTCTGGCCTCTCCATCCCTGTTCCCATAGCCCTATCCACACCTCTGTAAGTAATCCTTTCATTAAAGTCAATTTGAGCCAGGCGCAGTGGCTCACACCTGTAATCCCAATACTTTGGGAGGCCGGGGCAGGCAGATCACTTGAGGTCAGGAGTTCGAGACCAGCCTGACCAACATTGGAAAAACCCCATCTTTACTAAAAATATAAAATTAGCCGGGAGTGGTGGTACATGCCTGTAGTCCCAGCTATTCGGGAGGCTGAGGCAGGAGAATCGCCTGAACCCAGGAGACAAAGGTTGTGGTGAGCCGAGATCTTGTCGTTGCACTCCAGCCTGGGCAACAAAAGCAAAACTCCATCTCAAAAGTAAATAAATAAAATAAAGTCAATTTAGCTCTCTCAGGTCCTCACTTCCAAGATAACAACGAAAAGAAGGAACAACGGTCACGCCAACAGGGGCCACAGCCACGTGCAGACTATCCGATGCACAAACCCCACCTGACACATGCCTGAGGGCAAGGCCATGAAGAAGGTCATCATCTGAAACATAGCAGAGGCCACTGCCATCAGGGACATTGCCAAAGCGAGTGTCTTGGACGTCTGGGTGCTTCCCAAGCTGTGTGTGAAACCTCATCACCATGTGAGGTGAGGCACCCACAGCAGGCCAGGCAGGAAGCAGACGCAGGAAGCCCAGAAGGACCCAACACCCATATCCCGATTCAGAACTGCAGGTGCCACTTGCAACCTCCGCCCAAGCCCATGTAAGGGGCTGAATCCCCCAGCACTAGAGAAAGACTCTCCCCCAGGGACAAAATAACACGGAAATCATACTTTCTTTAAAAGTCTATTTAATTGAACTATCTGGATGAATTGAGTTTCCTTCTGGGATCCTAGTGGCACGGTTGCCACACAGCCCTGTGAGGTACATACGCTTATTAATCTCTTTTTACAGGTGAGGTAACTGAAGAGGTCAAGCTGCTTGATCAAGGTCGCACCACTAGGACACAGCAGAGCTGGGATTCAAGCCTAGGAGTTGTAGCCACATCCTCACCGGCTCCTGTCTCCCTCATACAAAGCTGAAAAGCCTTCTTGCATGATTTGGAGGGAGAGATCCATGGAGCTGAGAAAAGGTCTGCCCCTCCCCCAAGCAAGGAGAGGCATAGTGACCTCCTGCAGCCCAGGCTATGGAGTTTCGGGTTGAGCAAGTTTCCACCACCTGGGTCTGGAAATCGAGAATAGGGAAAGAACAATTGCAGGTCCCCGCGAGGATGCTGGGGGTGGGTAGAAACGGCGATCCTCCCAGCCCCTCCTGGCACCCTGCCCTGACTACCACACTCCTGGCTTCCTGCAGAGCTTCCTGAAGGAGAGGAAGGAATAGAAGTTTCCAGCCTCATGTTTGGACTTGCCCAGGGATAAGATGAGAGCCAACAGATAAGGGGGTAGGGGCAGAGTTTGAGCCCCAAGTCTCCATCAGAGCCCCCAGGCACAGGCTGAGCACATCCTCATCCTGGGTACAGGAGTGCCAGGCTAATAGAGAAGCTGAGTCCCTGCCCAGAACCAGACAGACACAGAGCCTGGGACAGCAACAGGTGCAGCCAGACTGCCAGGGACAGGAAGGGCCCAGGAGGTTAGACGTGGGAATTAGAGCAAGTTTCTAAGAGGAGAAAAAATTGGTGCACAATCAGGAAGAAGGAGGAACAAGGAGGAAGTGGCTGCCCCCAGTCAGGACTAGAACCTCTTAAAACAGGCAGTTGGCCAGGTGCGGTGGACCATGCCTGTAATCCCAGCACTTTGGGAGGCTGAGGTGGGCAGATCACCTGAGGTCAGGAGTTCAAGACCAGCCTGACCAACATGGTGAAACCCCATCTCTACTAAAAATACAAAAAAATTAGCTGGGCGTGGTGGTGGGTGCCTATAATCCCAGCTACTCGGGAGACTGAGGCAGAAGAATCACTTGAACCCGGGAGGCAAAGGTTGCAGTGAGCCGAGATTGTGCCATTGCACTCCAGCCTGGGTGACAGAGTGAAATGCTGTCTCAAAAAATAATAATAATAATAATAAGCAGGCAATTAATGACGAACTGAGCTACAAGCGCTAAGACATTAGTGGAGGTGGGGAGACGGAGGGCACCCCAAGGAGCACACTAGAGGGCTCGAAGGATCCCTTGATAGAGTGGCTGTTATATGGAGTGAGTGGCCTATAGGACACATTTGGACACAGATTGCCCTCCGAGGAGAGGAGGCTGGGGAGCCACACAGCTTTTGTTTTGCCAGGTGGGGTGTGCAAGCATTAGAGCATTCAGAACAACAGGCAGGGAGATTTTATTGATTTTTGCAGCATCCACTGTGGGCTGGCTTGGGCTGTGGGCAGTGGATACCGAGTTGGCCTTGCAGAGCCGGCTGATGCGGGGAGCAGGCCAAACACATTCAGGAAGGACATGGCTGCTGGGTCACTCAGTAGGTGATGGATGTCTTCAGACTTGACTCAACTGTCTTCTTCAGGATGGTGTGGCAGCTGGAGCCAGAGCTGGAGCCAGACACAGAGCAGGACCCCAAAACCGGGTCCTTCCCAGAGCCCAGGAGGATGCTGGAGCCTCCAATCATGATGCTGGTGCAGCGGGACCCAGAGCTGCCTTTGCCGCCACCGAGTCCACAGGTGCCCCCCAGGCCTCCACCAACTCCTCCAGACACGACAGCACTGCCTCCCACTGAGGCTGCCAAGAAACGCACGGGGTCAGAGCAGGGTCCTCAGTTCCCCAATCCCACCCTCAAAGCCCCCTGATACTCACAGATAGTGACCTGGTTGGGACACTCCCCAGACATCCTAGGGGAAAAGGCACAGGAGAAGGATGTGCTAAGAAATACTGCAAAGAATGCATCCCCACGCTCTTTTAAGCCCCTCAGAGCAGGTCACCCACCCTCTCGGCAGATAAAATCCAGTCCCCAACTTAAAATCCTTCTCTGCAGAGTTGCTTGCCCTTAGTGACTCACGATGTCAGGAAATCTCTCAAAATCCTCTTCAGCAAGCAGCTCGCTGTGTTGACTTCCCATCCTCCTCCCCCACCTCATATTCCCAGGTCCCTCCCAGCCTCCCTCACCTGTACTCCTCGCTCTCCAGCAGCCTGCGGTAGGTGGCGATCTCCACATCCAGGGAAAGCTTCGTGCTCATCAGCTCCTGGTACTCACGCAGCAGCTGGGCCAAGTTCTTCTTGGCCATCCTCAGAGCGGCCTCCAACTCATCCACCTTGGCCTGAGCATCCTTGAGGGCCAGCTCCCCGTGCTGCTCGGCATCAGCAATGGCGCCCTGCAGGCTGGCATTCTGGAAGTGGGGTGGAAATGAGCAAGAAAGTGGCTGTAAGTTCAACATGGCCTCCCAAAGCACCCACCGTGGATATCACTTGATGCCTGGGGCTGATCATAATCTCATGAGCTCAAATTTATCCGTGGCTGTCTGTACCAACACCACCCCTGCAACAGGCTCCACCCATTCTAAGGAAAGGTATTGCTTCCTTCACTTCTTTACCTCCTGCAGTGGGTTGAAGAGTATCCCCCAAAACTTTCATGCCCACCCAGGACCCCAGAATGTGATCTTATTGGAAGTAGGCTCTTTACATGATTATATCATACCATATTTAGGGTGAGCCCTAAATCCAATGACTGGTGTCCTTATGAATAGAAGAGGGAACACAGAGACAGACACAGAGAGAAGAGCTCCTCAGAAGAGAGAGGCCGAGATCAGAATGTTGCAGCAATAAGACAAAAAATGCCAAGGAGCTCCTGGAGCCTGCAGAAACTAGCAAGACCCAGGGAGGACTCCTCCCGCTGCACCTTCAGAGAGAGCACGGCCCCGCTGACACCTTGATTTCAGACCTCAAGGCTCCAGGACTGTGAGAGGTTACATTTCTGTTGCTTTAGGCCACCCAATTTGTGGTGATTTGTCGCGGCAGCCGGGGGACACTAGTACACCTCCTACACCACCTCCCCAAGTGCTCTTTTCCTATTTCTCCCCACCCCCAACCCTCGGCACTTTACCAGAGTCTCTCCCAGGGTGCTTAGAGCTCTTCCTGTACCATGGATCACCATCTACAAGGCTCCTCCTGAGGGCCATCACAGTTCTTCATTTTTTTCAGATAGTCCCATTTCAAATACTTTGTCCTGTTGTCAGAATACATCAAACCATGTGCCTCAATTTTGGGATTAAAAAATATCATCTCAGCCAGGCGCAGTGGCTCACGCCTATAATCCTAGCACTTTGGGAGGCCGGGTCGGGTGGATCACGAGGTAAGGAGTTCAAGACCAGCCTTACCCACATGGCAAAACCCCATCTCTACTAAAAATACAAAAATTAGCCAGGCGTGGTGGCACATGCCTATCTATAATCCCAGCTACTCAGGAGGCTGAGGCAGGAGAATTGCTTGAACCCAGGAGTCAGAGGTTGCAGTGAACTGAGATAGCACCACTGCACTCCAGCCTGGGCAACAGAGCAAGACTGCATCAAGAAAGAAAGAGAAAGAGAGAGAGAGAAGAAAGAAGGAAAGAAGAAAGAAAGAAAGAAAGAAAGAAAGAAGAAAGAAAGAAAGAAAGAAAGAAAGAAAGAAAGAAAGAAAGAAAGAAGAAGGAAGGAAGGAAGGAAGGAAGGAAGGAAGGAAGGAAGGAAGGAAGGAAGGAAGGGAAGGAAGGGAGAAGAAAGAATCTCTTTACTTAAAATAAAAAGCTAGAGGAAGGATGAAATCCCTATCTTATTAGCCTTACAGTTGATTTGCCCTCACATCTGACTCAGGAAGGAAGGAATTACCTAAAGGCTCTCATTATTCCATTCCCACTCTGTGGACAGAAACATAATCTCTACTCTGTAGATGAAGAAACAGAGGCTCAGAAAGATGAGTGGCAGAACTGTGACCCTAACCCACTTGGGCCTGCACAGGGGAGCCCAGTTCATCATGTTTGTGCAGGAAAAGGAGCAGGAGACAGTGCTATAGCCACAGGAGTGATTCTCTCAGGGAGGCACATTGCTGTGTGAGGAGCTGTGATTCCCAGGCCTGGGTACCCAGTACACACTCCAGAGTGCTGCCACTGGACTCTGAAGACCACATGCTTCAGAACCAGCTGGGCAACCTCATTTAAAAAGCAGATTTCTGGGCCCCATTCTCAGAGATTCTGACTCCTCAGCTCTGCCAGGAGGCCCAGGAATCTGCATCTTAACAGCCACTGCAGAGGATTCCAAAGCAAGGGGTCCAAATTTGTTGGTCAAACAGTGGCAACAAATTGAGTAGAGGACCCATCACAGTCATCTCAGCCTCTCATTGCAATTAAGAGCCAGAAGGATAGTTTGGGATGAAGTGTGGGTTCTGGATGCTCCAAGAACCCTCCAGGAGGGCTTTGCTTGGGAGTCAAGGGACCTCATGTGACTTTCGAATCAGTCTGTAGTGCTTGAGGAAATGGCCTGACTCTGTGGTCTCTGCTCTCCACCCTCCATTGATCCCCAAATTGATCTTTGGGTTTAGGAAATATGAGTGCAAGGATATATTACAGTTTGAGAATTCATAAACACTTCACATCTAGAAGTGAGGTCTCTAGCCCTCGGGAGGAGCAGGAAACCCTCCCTCCTCTTGTCAACCCCTCCCTCTATTTCTGACCCTTGTAAAACTACCTAAGGAGAAGTTAGCCCCACCCTGCTGCCCACCTCACCTACTCTCTGAGGCCCTGACTCCCAACTTCCCCAACAGGGCACCAGGACCTTCAGTATTTGACCTTAAAGTCCCTGCTGGGCTTGAGAAGTAAGAGTCAAAAGAAGAGATGAGATGTGGGCTGGGCGCGGTGGCTCATTTGCCTGTAATCCCAACACTTTGGGAGGCCGAGGCAGGTGGATCACCTAAGGTCAGGAATTCGAGACCAGCCTGGCCAACACAATGAAACCCCGTCTCTACTAAAACTACAAAAATTAGCCAGGCGTGGTCATGGGTGCCTGTAATCTCAGCTACTCGGGAGGCTGAGGAAAGAGAATCGCTGAAACCTAGGAAGCAGAGGTTGCAATGACCCAAGATTGCGCCATTACACTCCAGCCTGGGCTGACAACAGCAAGACTTGGTCTCATAAATAAATAAATGAAAAATACGTGGCTAGATGCAGTGGCTGGCGCCTGTAATCCCACCACTTTGGGAGGCCAAGGTGGGCAGATCACTTGAGATCAGTAGTTTGAGACCAGCCTATCCAACATGGTGAAACCCCATCTCTACTAAAAATACAAAAATTAGCCAAGTATGATGGCTGGTGCCTGTAATCTCAGCTACCTGGGAGGCTGAGGCAGGAGAATCACTTGAACCTAGGAGGCAGAAGTTGCAGTGAGCCCAGATCGCGCCACTGCACTCCAGCCTGGGCAACGGAGTAAGACTTTGTCTCAAAAATAAAAAGTAAAGAACCGAGAGATGAATTAACTGTCTCCCCAAGGGGCTGAAAGCAAGATGTACACCTGGACATAGACTACAATGCTATCAGGCCCTCCCCAACACCAGGGGTGTGCAGTGCAGTGGCACTGTCCCACAGAAGCCAACAAGCGGCTAGAAGTCACAGCAGGAAGGCTGAATTCACCCTAGATGGGGCTTGAAGTTCTCTTCTCCCCAAATTATTCAAAGCTCCAGCCAGTTATCAAGGTCCTTGACACAAACCCACTGGCAGCCCTGACCAGAGAGAGAGAAGCTAGGAACTGGGGAGTGAGTTGAAGGCATGAAGGCAATGAGAAGACTTTTGGGGGGTTCTGGGAATCTACCTGCTTCTTGAGGTTCTCAATCTGACTCTGCAGCCTCTGAATCTCTTGGTGCAGCTGAGAGATCTCGACTTTGGTTTCCTGAATGCTGTTCCCATGAATCTGGGCAGATACCTGAAGCTCCCGGTACTGATGGGGAAACAGAGGAGACACCGTTAGTTGAGAAGATCACCACCTCTGACCATCTCGCCATGTTTGGAATGCCACCTCTCACTTCCTTATCTGGAGTGTGTGTTAAGTGTCTGCAGCCAGGACACGGTGGGATGTGCTCCTAGAAGTCCAAGCTTACCTCCCACAGCTCCCCTGTCTCGCCTCCCTCCTGCGGGGAGAAATGCCCCTGCCCACCCAGCCCCAGACCTTCAGGGAGGTAACTGGAACTACCCCAATGGAATCGAGGTGGATGACCACCCTCAAGTGGGGGCATGGAGATCCAGCCACTTCCAGCATGGAGCTGCCCCCCAGGTCCCACCACCTTGGTCTGGAACAGGGCCTCAGCCTCAGTCTTGCTGGTCCGGGCTATCTCCTCGTACCGGGCGCGGACCTCGGTGATGATGCTGCTGAAGTCCAGGTGGCGGTTGTTGTCCATGGACAGCACCACAGATGCGTCGCTGTCCTGGTTCTGGAGCTGGGCCAGCTCCTGCCGGGAAGACAGACTCAGTGTCCACCCACCCCCAGCTCCCTATCCCCTTGAAGCCTAGCACAGGTGAGCAGGATGATGAATTTCTGCCTACACGCCATTGCCCCCATTCATGCCAGGTGGCATTGAGTATGCCCTGCCCACCTTGGGACTCAATCTCCTCATTCAAAAACGAGGGTCATATGAGGTGGTCTTTGAGGTCTCTTGCAACTTGGACATTAATGGAAAATGGCCTGCAAGGCCCAAAATCACCCAGCCTCCATCACTCCTCAGAGTTCTTCTTTTTTTTTTTTTCTGAGATGGTGTCTTGCTCTGTTGCCCAGGCTAGAGTGCAGTGCCGCGATCTCAGCTCACTGTAACCTCCACCTCCCCAATTCAAGCAATTCTTCTGCCTCAGCCTCCCTAGAAGCTAGGATTACAGGTGCATGCCATCACGCCCAGCTAATTTTTGTATTTTTTCTAGAGATGGGGTTTCACCAGGCTGGTCTCAAACTCCTGACCTCAGGTGACCTGCCTGCCTCAGCCTCCCAAAGTGCTGGGATTACAGGTGTGAGCCACCTCGCCCAGCCCTCCCCAGACCTCTTATCACACTTCTCTCTCTTGCTCCAACTGCTCTGGCCACAGTGGCCTTCCTACATTTCCTCAGACCACATGCTCCCGTTGTGGGCTGCAGCCACTGCCCAGAACCCCAGAAACCCACCTGCACGGTGCGCTTCCTCATCTCCAAATCTTTGCTCAGATTCTCTCTCCTAAACAAGGTCTATTCTGGCCACACAATTTGAAATCGCCACCCGCTCCATGTTCCCAATCCTCCTTTCCCTGTTCTCATTTTCCTTTTTCCATGGTGTTGATCACCTTCTAACATACTATATAATTTCCTTATTTCCTTATACCTTATAATTTCCTTATTCACTAAGCAACTAAGTCTGTTCCTCATTGCCTGTCTCCCACTAGAAAGCAAACTTGGGATTTTTGTCTGGTTATTCCTTGATGTATCTCCAGGGCCTAGCAATTCACATAGCAAGTTTTCAGCAATTGATTGTAGAGTGACTGAATGACCCAGAATCTAAGCCACCCTAACAGACTTCCCCTCCTGGCCACTCTCCCCATGGCCACAGGGAGCCTGCCCACCCAGTCCCCTCTCTTGGCTCTCGCCTGCCCTTTGTAGAGCCTCACTTCTTCATACAGACGCTTCAAGAAGCAGATGTACTCCCTCAGAGTTTCCAGCTTGCCCTCCAACTCCATCTTGCTCAGGAAAACCCCATCCACATCCTGGAGACAGGGGGAAAGAAACCATGTAACCCCCTCTTCCCCTTTGGGGCCCTTTGGGGCTCAGGAATTCTGTTGATGGACTGCTCAACACCCATCCACCACTGCCTCCAGAGACCCTCTCCTTCCTCCTCCAGCCCCACCCTGTCCCGCTCTCTCCTTTGTCCCACATTGACCCAACATCGCCTCCAGGAAGTCTTCCCTGATTAATTGTAGCCAGTTCTGCTTCTTCCTCTCCCTCCCTGCCCTCTCCTGCAGTGACATCAGAGCTTGTCAAGCAGTCGTTAGTCAGATCTTATCTTGGGGTCCCTGTGTCTAGGCAGATGTCCTATTTCCCCAGGGGACCCCTGCAGGCAGAATGATAGCCTGTCCTAAATCAGGACCTCCCACACTTTCCCTCCCAGCTTAGGGCTAGGCTCCATGCACTGTGGATGCTCAGGATATAAGTGGAGCACTGGCCCCCACCCTCACCTTCTTGAGGACCACAAAGTCATTTTCAAGTGTGGTGCGCCTGTGGGCCTCCTCCTGGTACCTGCCAAATAAATAGAAAAGGATGCAGTTCGAGGCTCCACGGTCAGAGCCAATTACCCCATCTCCAAGCATGACCTCCCTGAAAAGGACTTCTTGCCTTAGAACGCCCCAAAACAGGACAGCAACCAGCCCTTCTCCTTTCCTGCCATGTCCTAGCTGTGTCTCTCTGCCACTCTTTCAGCCCTCGTCCTTGTCATGACAACAGCCACATTGTTCAGTTTGTAAGGCACATTCAGGTACCTTTTCTCATTTGCTATGCACACCCATCACTGGAGGCAAGCATTTGGGGCTTTATTAGAGAGATTAGACAATTTGACGAAGACCCCACAGATGACTAGGTAAGACAAAGCAGACCCAACCCAGGTCTCCTGCCCCAATCCTGGGCTCCTTCCAGACCCTTCCTTCCTCCACCTCACATTCCATTGTCCCAACCGTCCTGGGAGGTCAGAAGGGCGAGTGACATTTCCCAAGTTTACAGAAGGGAAACCAAGGCTGGGAGAGATGAGATGCCTTAACCAGGTCACACAGCTACCCCTCACTCACAGTCACCCCAACCCAATCACCCTATTAGTCCAGGGCTCTCTCCACTCCACCAGACGACCTAGGCGTGGAACCCAGAACCACAGCCCATCTGTGAATCGTGTCTTGGGTCTGAGGATGCCCCACTAAATCGATTTCCTTCCATCTCTGGAACCAGAGAACATCTGAATCACTTTAGCCCACAGCCTGCTGAACAGGAATTTCTCAAGGAAAAAAAGCCACTGGGGCACATTGTTTAAATAAGCCCTTCCCAGCCTTGACCAGAAACACGGGCCCTCGTAGCTGGGGTGTGTAAGACATTGGTCTCCCTGCCCTTCCTCTGGGGTTCTCCAGACCTGGGTAGGGGCTGCGGAATCTCCTTTACCTGTAGCAGGTGGGCACCTGAGAGGCTGGGGAATGGGGACATAGAGGGTAGAGGGGAGGCCAGTCATGTGCCTCTGGATGCTCAGCATGTGGGACACCCCCTGGCTGACAGACCCAATCTGAGTCCTCCCAGACCCCACCCACACCACATGGGGAAATTTCTGTGTGCCTACTTGGACTTATACTCCTCCTCTTGGTCCCGGCAGGCCTTCAGCTCTGCATCCAGAGCCCCTCGTTCTCCCTGGAGCTGCTCCAGCTGCTTCCTGAGCTGGGCCAGACAGGCCTCAAAGACAGGCTCCAGGCCCTGCGGGCGGCCTCTCACCCCCTGCTGTTGCAGCAGGCACCACTTGGTTTCCAGGACCTTGTTTTGCTGCTCCAGGAACTGCACCTGTAGCACAGAGGATCCCTGAGGCTCCGGGGACTCCCTAGGCAAAGCCTCCGGAAAGCAAAGCCTGAGGGACCCTCCCGTCAGCCTCACATTTCCCCTGCCTCCCAGCCCAGCCTGGGCAGGGGGAGCCTTGTGACCTTCATGACACGCCGAACACACCAAAATAACTGGACAGACTAATGGGGAGGGTTCTTCCCCCTGCTGACTGGCCATTCTCTATCCCTGAGCCCCAATCATGGAACAACAGGGTCTCTGCACAGCCAGAGAGAGTCCTGTTAGACCACAGGAGGGACTTCCCTGCTGCAGACGTCATTAGGAAAGTGGAAGAAGGAGGCCAAACTTCCCATCCCAAGTCCATCCACAGCAGCTCCTCCAAGGGAGGCACAGAGACAGGGGCTGGGCTGAGTTGACCCTCACCTTGTCAATGAAGGAAGCAAACTGGTTGTTGAGGGTTCTGATCTCCTGGGTCTCCTGCGTCCGCGCCACCCGGAACTGGGGGTCAATCTCCATCTTCAGTGGGGTCAGCAGATTCTGGTTGATGGTCACTTTTTGGATGCCCCCCGGAGGGCACAGGGAAAGTCCAGGCCCACCACTCTGCTCCCCAAACCTTCCCCCTGACCCCCAGGTGCTCCAGCAAGAGCCCCTCAGGCACCCCCCAAAGGAATTAAGGCTCCTGCTGCTGAAGCCAACACTGCTGCAGCCCCTTGAACGAGTGGAACAGGCTGAGCGAGTGCTGAAGCCCCTCTGGGCCCGGCACGGGGAGAGAGGCATGGCAGAGACAGGCAGTCACACAGCTGCAGACCAACAGACGGATTGTCAAGGTGTGTGCGTTTCTGCCCTGGGGCCCCAGCACGAGACTTTTATCCGCTCCTGTACCTGGGCTGGGCCTTGGAGAGCAAGATGCTCTTGACCTGACTGTGTCTGTCACTTGGCTCCAGCTGACTTACTCTGACATGCCTGGAGAACAAGTGTCCGGCATGTGCAGAGCCAAAAGAGAGGGAGACCCAGACCCTGCCCTCGGAGCTCCCGGGCTGGTGGAGAAATAGGCATCCCCAAAGACAAGGAAGCAGGAAGGAAACTGGGACTTCAGTGCTGAGGGACAGGGAGGGATGGCCCAAGCAAAGCCACTGAGGCCATTCCGGGAAGGCTTCCTGGAGGAAATAGGGAAGCAGCGGGAGGTTGCAAAGGAAAGAAAGCTAGAAGGGGTTCACAGGAAGCCTCAGAGTGCCCTGGATTCTCAGAGAGAATCCGCCTCAAGGAGCTGGAGAAGGAAGGCCCTTGCAGTGCCACAAAGGGAGGAGGTTAATGGAGGTGTTATTGCCATCGTTGGCTAAAAGACACTCCAGATTTGGAAATGAAACAGAAAAACAGGGTTTCCAAGTCCCTCCTCTTGCCCAACCCAGCAATCATCCATGAGCCACCACCCCACTGAAACCAGGTATCTCCATCCAGGATCACATGGGACAGCGCGTTTCTGACCCAGCCTGTGGTTCTGTTCCTTCCACAAGTACTTGGGGTCAGGCCCATCCACCTGCCACCAGGCTCCACTTCCTTGGGTTACAAGTCAGAACCACCACCCAGGCTCCAAAATGAACTGTGCACTTAGGGCCAGGCACAGTATCTCATGGCCATAATCACAGCACTTTGGGAGGCTGAGATGGGTGGACCACTGGAAGTCAGGAGTTCGAGACCAGCCTGGCCAACATGGTGAAACCCCATCTCTACTAAAAATACAAAAATTAGTCAGCTGCCTAGGAGGTTGAGGGAGGAGAATTGCTTGAACCCAGGAAGCAGAGGTTGTAGTGAGCCAAGATTGTGCCACTGCACTCTAGCCTGGGGAACAAAGCAAGACTTGGTCTCAAAAAAAAAAAAAACCAATGGGCATTTAGAAAAATACTCCTGACAGGCATGGTGGCTCATGCCTCTAGTCCCAGCACTTTGGAAAGCCAAGGCAGGTGGATCATTTGAGGTCAGGAGTTTGAGACCAGCGTGGCCAACATGGTAAAACCCCATCTCTAATAAAAATACAAAAATTAGCCGAGTGTGGTGGTGGACGCCTGTAATTCTAGCTACTTGGGAGGCAGAGGCAGGAGAACTGCTTGAGCGTGGGAGACAGAGGTTGCAGTGAGCCAAGACTGTGCCACTGCACTCCAGCCTGGCCAACAGAGCAAGGAAGAAAGGAGGAAGGAAGGAAGGAAGGAAGGAAGGAAGGAAGGAAGGAAGGAAGGAAGGAAGGAAGGAAGGAAGGAGGGAAGGAAGGAAGGAGGGAAGGAGGGAAGAAGGGAAGGAGGGAAGGAGGGAAGGAGGGAAGGAGGGAAGGAGGGAGGGAGGGAGGGAGGGAGGGAGGGAGGGAGGGAAGGAGGGAGGGAGGGAGGGAGGGAGGGAAGAAGAGAGGAAGAAAGGAAAGGAAGAAACTCCTAAGGGACTGGGAGCAGAAACAGGACATTTGGGGTTCCCCACAGGACAGTCTCTGCCTCTGGCCTGAAAGTCTGGTGGGTGGAGGAGCACTCTTGAAATCTGCTATTTCAGTACAACCTCCCTGCAGTGGCAGGACTCCTGGAAGGAAGGCGTCCAGTAGACTCCACTTAAGCTCTTCCACCACTCGCCGGCAGAATTGGACCACCCTAATTTGGGAGAGTATCTCAAATGTCTTATTTACATGGCAAGGGAGCGATTTCTCCCTATCCCCCTTCCCTTTTCTAAAGCCTGGTACATTCGCAAGCAAGTTACATTGCCTTTGACTATGCGACTCAAAGCAAGGACGAACAGGCTCAGAATAACAAACACTCAAGGGATGTGCTATGAGGAAGTCACTCTCAGCAATTTGAACAATCCTGCAAATACTCCACCCAAGGCCAGATAACAGTGAGTGTACCTCTCCTCTCTCCAGAGGATTAAAAGCCCCTTCCTCCTTCCTCTGGCCCCAACCGGCAGCACGCCTGAATAAAACTAAATGGCAGGTGACCTCAAGTGGAAGAAGAGGCAGGACCTTCAGTGGGGGGACCAAACGAGTTCAAGAAGCAAGGGACGAGGTGAGGAAGAGAAGAGGAGAAAAAAGATCCAGGAGGAGAATTAGGGGCACTAAGGAGAGGGGAGGCAATCTGGAGCAGCCCCGGAGTCCAGAAGAGTGCTGGGAAATGCACTGAATTCCACCGAGAAATCGACACACCTCCAAGCCCCACCCGCTGCAGACCACTGTGCAGAAGCGAGGCTTTGTGCCTGCTTTCCAGACCCCACAAATGTGCTTGAGAAAGACCTCCGTACACTGAACTCTACCATCCCTCCCTCTCAGGATTAAGGGTGGAGGACAGAGGTCACATTTGGGGATGGGGCCAAATCTACCTCCATGGAATTTCCCCGAATTTGTAATTTTAGAGAATATAGAGCCAGAAGGGCACTTCAAGGTAATCTGGGTAGATGATTTTGTTTTACACACGAGGACCGTGAAGCCCCATAGGTATGGGGCGGGGCATAGAGACTGTATGCTCTTGGGTAACCTAAAAGATTGTGCTAGGTGACCTCTAAGTCTGCTCTGGCCAATCTCTCTGTGATCTCGGGGACTTGTTCAAGGCCACCCACAGAGCTCCTCAGGCTGGAGGCACCACCTGAACCCAGCTCAGACCACTGCCCTGTGGAGCAGCCCACAGTGAACCTCCTCCTGTTCCGCATGCCCACCCTTCAAACTTTCTAAGACAGCACCACTAAACACTGAATCATAGCTCCGTAATGTATGTCCTGTCCACCCCTCTATCCAGCTCAGGGTCTGGCATCCACCAGGCATCAATAAATATTTGTTTAAAGAGATGTATTTTTATCCACCACCATTATACCCAGGGACCTTGCAGAATCCCCAGATTTGCAATGCCGCTGTAACAGATGCTGCCCCTACTTAGAAATAATTCCGCTGCTTAGAAAGACAGTCATGCAGTGATGCAGAGAATGACAAACAGTCTGGAGTTGGAACCAGTCCCCTCAGCAGCCAAGTGACTTGACCCTGGACACAAAAGTGCACAGAGATCCCAATTCATGCAGCAGCAAGAGTATAATTGGCTCACACCATGGACTTCATATATAATCCTGCAGTGCCGTGGCTCTAGTGGGTTACATCTTTCCTCAGTTTCCCGTGCTCCCGGTTAGCCATTCTCAACCACACCTCATGCTCGGCAGCCTCTCCCTACCTGGTCCCAAGTCAATAGGAAAGTCCTCTGCCAGCAAAACTTTTTCTTTTTTTTTTAAGACAGGATCTTGCTCTGTTGCCCAGGCTGGAGTGCAGTGGCACAATCTCTGCTCACTGCAGCCTCAACTTCCCAGGCTCAAGCTATCCTCCCACCTCAGCCTCCCAAGTAGCTGGGACTACAGGTGTGCACCACTGTGCCTGGCTAATTTTTGCATTTTTGGTAGAGATGTGGTTTCGTCTTGTTGCCCATGTTGAACTCCTGGTTTTGAGTGAACCACCCGCCTCCGCCTCCCTAAGTGCTGAGATAACAGGCATGAGCCGCCGCTCCCAGCCTCTCATCACAGCTTCTTGTAGCTTTCCTGTGGCCCCTTCTCTCACCATCCCACCCTAAGTTCACCCTTGGCCACAGCCACAACTCTCCAGCCTTCCTCTCTAAATAATTGCTCTCAAGCCTGTTCTTGCTTGCGCCGTCAATCTTTTCACCCAAAAGCCATTTATTTATTTATTCAACAACATCTGGTTGAGCACACACCATATTTCAAGCTCTGTGCTGAGAGTTAGAAATTTACCTGAGACCAAGCCCTAGCCACTGAAGTAAGACAGGCCTTAGAGTCTGTTAGGGAAACAGATATGAAACAAATCTTTAATTGTACTTATGATAGGGAGAGAAAGGTATAAGGCACAAAAAAGGACTAACCTAGTTTATCCCCTAATTTATTCTCAAACACTCCAGGAACACTCCAGCCTCAGGGCTTTGGCGCTCCCTGTGTCCTCTCCCTGAAATGCTCCTCCCCAGATATCCTCCTAGCTTGCTCCCCGTCTCCTTCTGGCTGTCATCCACCTTCCCTGGCTGCCCCAGACCAAAACTGCAACCCCGAGACCATCCCTCCTTTGCCACTCTTCTCCCCTTCCCTGCTTTCTTTCTACTTGGCATCTATCACTTCCTCATGCACCGTGTATTATACTCACTCCTTCTGTTTGCTAGCTTTCCTGCACTAGAATTGAGTTCCATGGGGACAGGGATATGGTCTTTGGCTTCCCTCTGTATCCTCTGTACTTAAGAACGGTGCCTGGCAGCCAATAGGTACATAGCTTGGTACATGTTAGTTGAATGAATGAATCCTCATTCAGTTTCATCTTAGTGATTTCCTGCCAATCTCTGGAGATCCTTCTGATTATCCATTCTCTTCTCTGAAACAATAGTCATCGCCTGCAACCTGCCCACCCAAGCTGGGAGCATCCCATTCATTTGGGAAACATGGTTTCATTACTCTATGAGCACATGAATGTGTGTTATTGAACATCTACTTTGGCTGAAGTGATACAAGAGATACACAGTGCATCAGCCGCCTCCCAGCCTGAAGGGGTGTCCAGTCCCATGGAAGACACACACATGAGCACAGAAACCAGGAGGGGGAAGGAGCTGAGAGGGTCTGTCCTGATTGCCAGTTGGCATGTTGGTGTGGCGGAGTGGGGGGGTCCTATTGCTCCAGGGGCCTGGTCTTGAAGAAAAACAAGGACAGGGCCCCGTGGTGTGCTCTTCTTAGAAACCCTTCCTCTGTTTGGGAATCGACCCAGCTATACTTTTCCCCACACCCCACTTTTCCATCTTGCCTTCAAGAACATCAGAAAATTTGTCAAATGTCTCATTCAATCCCAGAGAGCCTCTGTCTGACCTACAATAACTATCAAGATAACATTTTCACCGAGCGCCACGGCTCATGACTGTAACCCCAGCACTTTGGGAGGCCAGGCAGATGGATTGCTTGAGCTCAGGAGCTCAAGACCAGCCCAGGCAACATAGCAAAACCCCTATGAAAAATACAAAAATTAGCCAAGTGTGGCTGCACATCTGTGGTCCCCGCTACTAAGGAGACAGAGGTGGAAGGATGTCTTGAGCCCAGGAGGCGGTGGTTGCAGTGAGCCAAGACGGCACCACTGCATGCCAGTCTGGGCCACAGAGCCAGGCCCTGTCAAAAAAAAAAAAGATAACAGCCAGGCACGGTGGCTCACACCTGTAATCCCAGCACTTTGGGAGGCCAAGGTGGGCGGATCACGAAATCAGGAGATTAAGACCATACTGGTTAACACAGTGATACCCTGTCTCTACTAAAAATACAAAAATTTAGCCGGGCATGGTGGCACACACCTGGA